GATGGTAAGAGCGTCCCGGGAAGAGAACGAAAATGTGCTCTCGTTAAAACATTATCGAAATCAACATCCGGGGACGCTTTTCCGCTAGAAGCGATCATGCGATTTCGAGGACGTACAAGCATCGGCAAACGTCGACGGACGGCCAGAAAAAAAATAATCTGTCGTCAAAAATATACTCCAATACCATCGCACAGCCAAGAAGAGAGAAAGAGAGAGAGAAAGAGAGAGAGAGGGAGAGGGTGGATAAGGGGCAGGGGGAGGGAAGGGGAGGAACAAAAGGTGGGTAAGAGCCATGCAAAAGCGAACACCGAGAGGAGGGACCTACCGGATATCGTAATCAGATCAAACGCCAGAAATGTCATGGGCACTACAACGTAATCTGTTTAAAGCGGTAAAGAGAGAGAACGCATGCAATTTGGCTCACGGTGTCTCGTGTTTCCCCAGCTCGCCTGCAATCGTTCCTGCCCCCGATGACGAAGTTCCGTGCCCTGTTTCCTATTTCAGAGGGGGTTTAAAAGGGAATGCGCGCTTGCCCATTTATATATATATATATATACACACATATATATACGCATATATATGTATACATATACGTATGTTTCCTTTTTATTTTCCTTTCCTTTCCTTTCGCTCTTTGTTTTCCTCGACCTACCGACCGCCAATTTGTATCCTTCGTGCGGTGCAGTTTCGCTACGATGTTTTTTAACGTGAAAACATTAAGGCTCCGCTCCGCTGGCCCTTCTTTTCCACCCTCTTTCCTCTGTCGGCCGTCGTGGTACTAGTTTTCGCTCCAAGAGCGACTTCACATTCGTGTGTGCGTGCGTGCGTGCGTGTATGTTGTGTATGTGTGCGCGCGCTTTTCGTTCTTCTCCGTTTTTCTCCCGCTAACTCGTCCAATAACGTCTGGTTTCGTTCCGCCGTTAATTTCTTTCAGCGACTAGCGGCCGGTCGTACCCATTCGTATTCGCGCGTATCTAATATCGGCGTTAAGTCTCTAAAAAATTGAGGAACGTGCCGCCAAACGAGGATTCATCGGCCACCTTCTCTCGAACTTCCGTTCGCTTCGTACACAATGCGTCCGTTTTTTCGTTTTCTTTTCTATCATTTACAGAGAAACATATTAAATACTGTTTGAGATGCCGGTTTGTACTTATCCTTCCCGTGTAACACGACGAGCTATCCTGGTGACTGTAAAATAGTATCACCGCGATCGCGAGATGCGTTTTCATATTTTTTTCGAGATAAAAACAATCGTTGCTTTTTTTCGCATGAAAAAAATAGTGCGCATAAAAAACGACGTTATAGATACATGTATCCGTCATCGGAATATGTGAAATACGAGAAATCAAGTTGTTCTATTGAATAGATATATACTATATATCTTATATAGAGCTTTATATCAACCGACGGAATAAATTGCCACTAGTGGCAAGATTTTTGACATTCAATTTTATAAAAATCGACAATGAAATCTAAAACGAGCATTCTCTGATTGCCGGATCGCAGCATTGCGGTAATATATTTTCATAAAAATCTAAACCCGCGCTTTTTTTTTCGGAAAACTAACCATTCGAATCGTAAATCACACGTGGAACGAAATAAAAATGTGTGCAATGTAAAGAATTTGTACACCTTTTATAGCCCCTGTAAAACGTTTTTAGAAACAATATTTGCGTTATTTCATCATTATATGAATCGAGCGTTTCGTATCATCGAGTAGATTTACATCCAACGATGATGACGTAAAATTGAATAACAGCGAGATATACATATCGGGGGAGAGGGGCTTCGTACAAATTTTTGACGTACAAAAATCGACATACAGTGAATATTTCAGTTTTATGCTATACAAAGAACAAGTGCAAAGCATTTACAAAATTATTTTAGTGTTCCATATCTAAAAAAAAAAAAAAAAAAAAAAGAGTACGAAATAAGGTAACCGCAGCTCTCGAATTTATGTGCAACGATCCTCGCCCATAAGATCTGATATTACGGCGAGACGCACAAGGAATTCCTGATTCTGTTGCACCGTAAACACTGTTAACGCGCGTAACAGCTGGGGCTCGTAATTTTTCATTGACTCTTACCTCCAGCAAAGCCGTTGTTCCAGATAGCCGTTGGGCGAAATTCTCGAGTTACGCGCAATATGTTTGGCGTTTAGTCGACCATTTGGTGTAACTTTCCCTTTTTTTTTACTTTAATCGTTGCGGAGATGACGATAGTTACTGTCCCCGAAGAATCGCACGGGATATTTTTAATGTATCTGGGATACACAGACTGCTCGGTGCGAAGGAGCGCAACTCGATTACGCGAAGCGACGAAAGGCTAATTGGTCTCGAGTCGAGTCTCGATCTCTCACGTACAAAATGGGTCGTTCGAGCGACGAAAAAGTACACATCGTCGTCCTTGTTGTTCCGGCAATTGTCCTGATGGCAATGGGATAATGGGATAGCGTCGCGAAAAGTACCCTCGCAAACCCTCTATGAACCGTATTATCTTTATTATGCTCGTTTCTTTAACACGCTCATAGCGGAAAAAAGCGGGGTATAATATTTGTTAATCGATATTAAAATATATTTCCTTCGCATTACTAAAACATACACGCAATTTTATGGTTGATGTTATCGGGAATGTGCTAAGATTGAATAATAAACGGAGTGCACGATACAATTATTGGCAAGTGAATAGGATAAAAAAAATAATCGCAAGTGAAAAATGTCTGTTCCTGAATTACATTTTTGCACGTTTAAATTTATGTTATTATTTTACTAAGAAACAATTATTTTTATATGCCAATTATTAAAACTTTCTTCGATCCGCTATTGCTATGCATAATTTTGTTATGTCATAGAGGGTTTGCTAAAAAATTTGGGATCGATACTGCCAATCAGATCGCTCGACGATTCGTCCGTTTCTCTCACCGATGAGCAGCCTCACGTGTTGAATTTGGTTTCGCCCAAGTGACGCAATACATTTCTTCGTGTGCTCTTTACGGAGAACGGGTTATGAATTTTCACTCTCGTCGCCCTCGTACAAATTGCTTCACCATTATCATCATCTTTAATATATTTGCTCGCAATAGAGCTCTAACAGGCGATATTATTCCCACACGCGAATTTCATTTCCATCCTTTAATTCATACCAATGTTCAACGATATACGTTCGTTCAGTAAACAAATATTTATCAGGATAAGCGATACCGAACGTGCTCGCGTACTTATGAGAGCGTGATACAGAATGAAAGAGGAGACAGCGAAAAAGATTGAAAGATAGAAGTAGGAGAAGAAGACGAAGACAGAAAGGAATGGAATTCTTGCAGGGCCTAAAATTGAACCGACCGACTTCTCTCGCGATATCCTTGCCCGTCGTACGATGAATATACAGAGTGGACCCAAACGTTCCAGTCTTTCAAATGAGATCAAAGTTATTGTAGTTCCTTCCATAGGTTTTGGAATAACCGTCAATAGCCGAAAAAACACTTTTCGGTACATTTGAAATTGGTTATTAACTGGTTTATTTCAAAACCTATGGAGCGAACTACAATCATTTTGATCTCATTTGACAGATAATTTAATACCGAACAAAAAGTTTCCTATAAACATGTGTTGAAAAATGCTTCCTTAAAAAGTTAGCGCCCAAAAACCTCTGAAATCACGTTTATTTTTTACATTTTTGTAAATATCAGGGAAAGTATGCGTTTTTTAACAAAAAGTGCCGCAACAAAAGTTGTAGAGAATTAAATTATCTTTCAAATGAGATCAAAGTTATTGTAGTTCCATCCATAGATTTTGGAATAACCGTCAATAGCCGAAAAAACACTTTTCGGTACATTTGAAATTGGTTATTAACTGGTTTATTTCAAAACCTATGGAGCGAACTACAATCATTTTGATCTCATTTGACAGATAATTTAATACCGAACAAAAAGTTTCCTATAAACATGTGTTTTATTAAATAAAAGAGATTATAAAGTTTAATGGAATTGAAAATATACAGGATGGTCCCAGACGTTCCAGCCAGAGTTTGAGATTTTATAGGAAGTTTAATTCTGAATAAAAAATTTCCTATAAACACTGGTCGAAAAATACTTCCTTAATATATTATTTCAAAACCTATGAAGCGAACTACAATCATTTTGATCTCATTTGAAAGATAATTTAATTCCAAACAAAAAGTTTTCTATAAACATGTGTCGAAGAATGCTTCCTTAAAAAATTAGCGCCCAAAAACCTCTGACATCACGGTTATTTTTTACATTTTTACAAATATCAGGGAAAGTATGCGTCTTTTAACAAAAAGTACCGAAACAAAAGTTGTAGAGAATTAAATTATCTTTCAAATAAGATCAAAATGAATGTAGTTTGTTCCATAGGTTTTGAAATAAACCAGTTAATAACCAATTTCAAATGTACCGAAAAGTGTTTTTTCAGCTATTGACGGTTATTCCAAAATCTATGGAAGGAACTACAATAACTTTGATGTCATTTGAAAGATAATTTAATTCTCTACAACTTTCGTTTCCGTACTTTTTGTTAAAAAACGCATACTTTCCCTAATATTTGTAAAAATGTATAAAATAACCGCAATTTCAGAGATTTTTGGGCGCTAACTTTTTAAAGAAGCATTTTTCGACCCACGTTTGTAAGAAACTTTTTGTTCAGAATTAAATTTCCTATAAAATCTCAAAGTCTGATCGGAACATTTGGGCTCACCCTGTATACATACTTTCGATTTAATGATCACCTGCGTATGATGTCCGAACGACGGAAGTAGGAAGAAGGATATGCGTATGTGAACAAGTATCTCGTTTTGTCGTATTCATATTTACACATATTATAAATATTCACGATATAATAATTTCCTTCTCATTTCTCTCTCAGTATATATTATTATTTGATATATATATATATATATATATATATATATATATATATATACACACGTATACATATACACGTAATACAGATACAAGTATAAAGAAGTGCAAATCTTACGGCATCATATACACGTGACGTTAATATAGTTAGTACACAATATGTGAGGATATACAGACTGTAGGCCTTGTTTACTTGTATATTGCACTCACCATATTATAATCATCTATTTTGCTGATAGAGCGGAGAAAGATGTTGACGTTCACAATTGTCGGGCCATCTAACACGTCGACCGGAGAACAGAACAAAAGAAATCGATTAATTAAATCGGTCGCCGTGAACCGAAAATTGCTTGCTTTATTTTCTTTCTTTTTATTTTTGCTTTGCTAATTCGTTTTCGCTTTCATTTGATTGACTGGAATGATACGGTTTGCGGTGTGAGAGTAGAGGGAGATCATCGATGAATGAGAGGATGGGTGGGTCGGAGATGATCAATGGGAGATCGTGACCGGATGATAAAATGATTCTTTGATTTTCGAACGTGATCGAAGCGTCGCTTGAAATGATGCTTCCACCGATTCACATCCGAGCGAGTATAGAATGATGGAACGAATGATTATC